TACAGCAAATATAAAACAGCTAGTTGAGTTGGTAGCCTTGGGCACCCCGCACTTCTACAAAATGAAAACAACAAATGTGAATCCTATGAAAACTGTCTGACAAAAATTGTAGGAGAAGAAATCAGTAAACAGCAGCTCAATAAAATGAAAACTAGCTAATTATGAAGCTGTGGCGGTTACCCTTATCTATCAGTAAGAACAACAGCAATCTTATACGATCAGGCTCATTCTAAGTAATCTTCATTTTAATAGACAAATACCTGCATCTCTTCATTCATAAAATGTGTACCTTATCTTTCAGAGTAGCAATGCCCTCAAGATAACAAATTAAAACAACAAAAATACAAATTACAAGACTCAAAAGTGCAGAAGAAAAGAGGACCTAAAATACATGTTCAGTCACACACTGAATATGACCGAAATATTCTTCAAACTTTCGTTGCTTTCTCCGTACGCTTTTTGTGTGTGTTCGCCTACCAAGCAATGCATGCGTCTGACCTGGTAGGCAGCAGTTCCCCAAAGTTTACTCGGCAGTAAATCTGTTATCCTTGAAGAGGTCACAGCATCTTTCAGAATTTTTTCATTTTTTTATTTTTTGGGAGAGGAATGATAAAGGTCTTCACCTGGCACCAAAAGGACATGAGAGCAGGACCCAAAAAAGCCTCCCCAGAGAGAGCTCTCCATAGACACGATGCTGCCACTGGAAAGCTCTTATCAAGAATGGCTACTCTGCTTAACGTCAAAAGGCAAGGGGCCTGCAGATGGACCTTTACCAAAGGCACTCATACAGGAGCATGTGGGAAAGGGCAGGCCTTCAGTTACCTGGGTCTCCAGTGAAGTTGTTTCAGGGCTGCAGTGGTATATCCCCAAGGCCAGTCTAGCAGTCCCATGGTGGAGCAAGTGAAGCCCTAAACAGCTTGGGTCCAGAATACCTGAAGGAACGCCTCCTTCCCTATATGCCCTCACACCCCTTAAGCTCAGCAGGGGAGGCCTTGTTCCAGGAACCCTCCTTGAAGGAAGTATGGAGGGTGCCTACCCGGAGGAGAGCCTTCTTCGCAGTGGTGCCCAGAGTATGGCATGCACTCCCCAGAGTGGTCTGCCTGGCGCTGACATTATACTCCTTCCGGTGCCAGGTAAAGACCTTTATATTTAACCACCATTTTAACAATTAATGAGCGGGCTGGATGAATCACCAGTTGGAATTAAGATTGCGGGGAGAAATATCAACAACCTCAGATATGCAGATGATACCACTCTCATGGCGGAAAGTGAAGAGGAACTAAAGAGCCTCTTGATGCAGGTGAGTGCAAAAGTTGGCTTGAAACTCAACATTAAGAATACTAAGATCATGGCATCCGGTCCCATCACTTCCTGACAAATAGATGGGGAAGAAATGGAGGTAGTGACAGATTTTATTTTCCTGGGCTCCAAGATCACCGCAGATGGGGACTGCAGCCAAGAAATTAAAAGACGCTTGCTCCTGGGGAGGAAAGCTATGGCAAATCTAGACAGCATACTAAAAAGCAGAGACATCACCCTG